ATTCCCCTGAGAATCTTGAATGTGGTGATCATGTCCCCCCTGACTCCTTTGTCTTTCAACGAAGTGAGGTTTAATTCCCGTAGTCTCTCCTCGTAGCTCATACCTCTCAACTCGAGTACTAGTCTGGTGGCAAACCTTTGAACCTTTTCCAGTTTAGTCTTATCCTTGACTAGATATGGACTCCATACTGGAGCCGCATACTCCAGGATTGGTCTGACATATGTGGTATATACTGTTCTGAAAGATTCCTTACACAAGTTTCTAAAGGCCGTTCTTTTGTTAGCCAACCTGGCAAATGCTATCCTCTTGATATGAGCTTCAGGGGACAGGTTTTATCGTGATATCAACTCCCAGGTCTTTCTCTCTCTCTCTCTGACTCTTGAAGTATTTCATCTCCCAAATGATACCTTATATCTGGTCTCCTTATCCCTACCCCTATCTTCATTACATTACATTTGCTTGGGTTGAACTTTAACAACCATTTGTTCGACCATTCCTGCATCTTGTCCAGGTCTTCTTGAAGACTCAAACTGTCCTCCTCTGTCTTAATCCTTCTCATAATTTTGGAGTCGTCAGCAAACATTGAGAGAAATGAGTCTATACCCTCTGGGAGATAATTTACGTATATCAGAAACAGGATAGGTCCGAGTACAGAGCCATGTGGGACTCCACTGGTGACTTTACGCCATTCTGAGGTCTCACCCCTCACTGTAACTCTCTGCTTCCTATTGCTCAGGTACTCCCTTATCCACTGGAGCGCCCTACCAGTTACTCCTGCCTGTTTTTCCAGCTTATGCATTAACCTCTTATGGATTACTGTGTCAAAGGCTTTCCGACAGTCCAAAAAAATGCAGTTCGCCCATCCTTCTCTCTCTCTTGCTTAATCTTTGTCACCTGATCGTAGAATTCTATCAAGCTTTTAAGGTAAGATTTATCCTCCCTGAACCCATGTTGATGGGCTGTCAAGAAGTCTCTTCTCTCCAGATGTGTTACTTGGTTTTTTCTCACAATCTTCTCTATCACCTTGTATGGTATACAAGTTAAGGACACTGGCCTGTCGTTCAGAGCCTCTTGTCTGTCACACTTTTTGTACTACATTAGCAGTCTTCCATATTTCTGGTAGGTCTCCCGTTTCCAGTGACCTACTATACACTATGGAGAGTGGCAAGCAAAGTGCTCCTGCACACTCTTTCAATACCCATGGTGAGATTCTGTCCGGCCCAACAGCTTTTCTCATGTCCATCTCCAATAGGTGCTTCTTTACCTCATCTCTTGTAATTTCGAGTCTTTCCAAGGTCACCTGGTTTGCTGCCACCTCTCCTAGCGCCGTGACTTCTCGTTGTTCTATTGTAAAGTCCTCTTGGAACCTTTTGTTGAGTTCCTCACACACCTCTTTGTCATTCTCTGTGTACCTGTCCTCGCCCATCCTAAGTTTCATCACATGTTCCTTCACTGTTGTCTTCCTCCTGATGTGACTGTGTAGTAGCTTTAGTTCGGTCTTGGCTTTATTAGCTATATGATTTTCATACCTTTTCTCAGCTGCTCTTCTCACACTAACATACTCGTTCCTGGTTCTCTGGTATATCTCTCTACTTTCTGGCGTTCTGTTATTACGGAAGTTCCTCCGTGCCCTTTTTTTCAGCTCCTTTGCTTTCATACATTCTCTATTAAACCTATTGTGTGTGTGTGTGTGTGTGTGTGTGTGTGTGTGTGTGTGTGTGTGTGTGTGTGTGTGTGTGTGTGTGTGTGTGTGTGTGTGTGTGTGTGTGTGTGTACCTATTTGCTCAACCCACGCAAGCACAAATAGGTGAGTACAACTAAGTGAGTACACACACAGGAAGCAGTATGTAGCAGCTGCCTAACTCACAGGTACCTGTTTTACTGCTAGGTGAACAGAGACATGAAGGTAAAAGAAACTTTGCCCATTTGTTTCTGCCTCCTCTGGGAATCGAACCCGGTCCTTTAGGACTATGACCCCCGAGCGATGTTCACTCAGCCGCGAGGCCCCTCGAACAAACAAACACACACATACGGCCCCCTCGCTGTGTGCGCGAGAGAGAAATATATGAGTGTATGAGAAAATCAGTAGGAGCCGTATCTCATTGATACTTCACGTTAATGTGATTTCTCTGTGTGTGAGAATATGATAAATTAAAAGATGAAGAGTCAGAACATTAGACTACTGGTGGTAAGAAAGGCGGGGTCCAAGAGCTAACAGCGCGATACCCCAGTGACAAATAGTAAAACCAAATAGAAAATACACACAAATGTAGTTCTAGGGGACCGAGTTAGATTCTTGGTCGAGGCAGAGACAAAAGATTTTTCATCCGAATCCACTGTTTCCCCTTGCAGTAAATAGGTATCTTGCAGTTAGACAGTTGCTACGGACTACATCTTGAGGATGTGTGTGTGGGTATAATTACATTATTTAATAATTACAATTTTTAATATTTTATTAATAATTAATTAATAATTAATTAATAATTACAATTATTAATTAACCTATTATAAGTATAGGTTAAGTAATAATTGTAATTACGAAGCAATAAGATGCTTATCTTAATATACTAAGAAGGTTAGGTAAGGTCGGTGTTTTCTATGAAGCTTTGCATTGTAAACTAGTATGTTTAGTATGTCACATATGCACGTATTTAATAAGTCAATATTGACTATACGAAAGTGCGAGAACGGATTGATCTTGATCTCGAAAAGAGCGTTTACATATCTCGATCTCGAAAAGAGCGTTTACATATATCAGAAACATGAAGGGCCTAAGTACAGAGCCCTGTGGGACTCTGCTGGTGGCATCTCGCCACTCTGATGTCTCTCCCCCTCACAGTTACTCGCTGTTTCCTGTTTCTTAGATACTCCTTTATCCACTGGAGCACCTGCCTTTTATTCCTGCCTGTTTCTCCAACTTTTGTAGCTGCCTCTTATGGGGTACTGTGTCAAAGACTTTCTGACTTTGACACAGTACCTTTGACTATGACTGTGTGTAAGTACCTCTTTCTTTAACTGTGTCTAAGTAAATGCTGTCTTCCCACCCTTCTCTTTCTTGCCAAATTTTTGTCACCTGGTCATGTAATTATATTAAGCCTGTGAAGCATGATTTACCATCCCTGAACCCATGTTGTTAGTGTGTTACATAGCTCTTTCCCTCCAGATGTTCCTCGAGCCTTCTCCTCCTAATCTTATCTATCACCTAGCATGGTATACAAGTTAGTGAAACTGACAAACTGGCCTGTAGTTCATTGTCTCTTTCCTGTCACCCTTTTCCTGTATTGGACTAAATTAGCCGTCTTCCAGCTTTCCGACAGGTCTCCTGTTCCCAGTGACCTGTTATACACCATAGAGAGTGGGGCACACTTAGTGCTTCTGCATGCTCTTTTAGTTTCCATGGAGATATTCTGTCAGGCCCAACAGCCTTTGTCACATTCATCTCCCACAGAACTGAGTATTCACCTAGTTGTGCTTGCGGGGGCTGAAGTCCGCTCTTTCGGCCCGCCGCTCAACTGTCAATCAACTGTTACTAATTAATAACTAATCTATTTAAAAAAAAAAATCCACACACACACACACACACACCTGTGTTCAGTTTCCACCTGTGTCCCCTTGTGCGAGTTCCCCTTGTGTTAAATAGACTGTCTTTATCTACCCTATCAATTCATTTGAGAATCTTGAATGTGGTGATCATGTCCCCCCTAACTCTTCTGTCTTCCAGCGAAGTGAGGTTTAATTCCCGTAGTCTCTCCTCGTAGCTCATACCTCTCAGCTCGGGTACTAGTCTGGTGGCAAACCTTTGAACCTTTTCCAGTTTAGTCTTATCCTTGACTAGATATGGACTCCATGCTGGGGCTGCATACTCCAGGATTGGCCTGACATATGTGGTATACAAAGTTCTGAATGATTCTTTACACAAGTTTCTGAATGCCGTTCGTATGTTGGCCAGCCTGGCATATGTCGCTGATGTTATCCGCAGCACATATCAAGCGGATAACATCAGCGGCATATGCCAGGCTGGCCAACATACGAACGGCATTCAGAAACTTGTGTAAAGAATCATTCAGAACTTTGTATACCACATATGTCAGGCCAATCCTGGAGTATGCAGCCCCAGCATGGAGTCCATATCTAGTCATGGATAAGACTAAACTGGAAAAGGTTCAAAGGTTTGCCACCAGACTAGTACCCGAGCTGAGAGGTATGAGCTACGAGGAGAGACTACGGGAATTAAACCTCACTTCGCTGGAAGACAGAAGAGTTAGGGGGGACATGATCACCACATTCAAGATTCTCAAAGGAATTGATAGGGTAGATAAAGACAGTCTATTTAACACAAGGGGAACACGCACAAGGGGACACAGGTGGAAACTGAGTGCCCAAATGAGCCACAGAGATATTAGAAAGAACTTTTTTAGTGTCAGAGTGGTTGACAAATGGAATGCATTAGGGGGTGATGTGGTGGAGGCTGTCCCCATACACAGTTTCAAGTGTAGATATGATAGAACCCAATAGGCTCAGGAATCTGTACACCTGTTGATTGACGGTTGAGAGCCGGGACCAAAGAGCCAGAGCTCAACCCCCGCAAACACAACTTGGTGAGTACAACTAGGTGAGTACACACACACACACACACACAGGAAGCAGCCCATAAGAACTGTATAACGTCTAAGTACTTATTTACTGCTAGGTAACAGGGGCATCAGGGTGAAAGAAACTCTGCCCATTTGTCTCTGCCGGCGCCGGGAATCGAATCCGGGCCACAGGATCCCGCGCGCTGTCCACTCAGCTACCAGACCCTCCCTCCCATGTGTGTGTGTGTGTGTGCGCGTGCGCATTTTAGGGTATCTACTCACGTATATTTTGGGTGAAGATGCTTAGGCCTATGTGTACGTATAGAAGTGTCAGAAGATAAGGGTGTACTGGGTGCAGCGCCGAGGTCTGACATGAAGACCTGAATAAGACCTGACATGAATAAGCTAGTATGCATTTTATTGCAGGCAGCACTGAGTATCTTCGGCATGGTTGGCGGACCTCTGCTTGGGGTCTTCTCTCTCGGCATGTTCTTCCCTTGGGCCAACGCCACCGTAAGTTCTTCACACTTGTGGTAAGTCCTTGTTGCACTGACAGCCGGGTATATCTCAATGTAATTATCAGCTGGATATGTCGTTGTTGCACTGACAAATGAGAATATCTCAATATAATTATCAGCAGGATATGTCGTTGTTGTACTGGCAGCCGGATATATCTCTATTTATTTATATATATTAGAAGGTACATTGGGGGTTTAGAGAGTACATAATAATGATGATTTTACATGCTTGTAAAGTTACTAGCACGCAAAGCATTTCAGGCAAGTCAAGTGTAACCATTGTCACGGGGAAAGACAAAGGGCAAAGCCTCGTCGAGCTCCACCGGTGACACTTTCCCTCATGAGTACTTTCTGTATTCACTTTCCCTCGTGATGAAGTCAGCGCTTAACACCTGTGCATTCCAGCCTCAGAAAACACAGGCACTTCGCCACACCTCTGTCTCCAGAAAGTAGGAAGTAGAGCGGAAACACAGGAAACAATTTTAAGTTTCCACAACATTCCTGGAAAGTGTTAGAAAGTAGTGGAACTGTTTGTTTTCGCGCATTAGATACGTTATTTTGTGTGGTTTTAAATTGATTTCCGAAACTTTTAACCAAAACCTACGTACCTAATCCTAATTTGAAACTTTGTGACACCTTTTATATCATAATTTGAAACTTTGTGACACCTTTTTGACTCCAATTTGAAAGTTTGTGACACCTTTTGTACCGTAATTTGAAACATTGTGACACCTTTTATATCATAATTTGAAACTTTGTGACACCTTTTATTAAGTGTTTAAAGTTAAAATGTTAAAATATTAATAAATAGGAAATGTAAAAATATAAAAAAATATTTTTACATTTGATAAAATTAATTTAAAAAAGGATCATAATAAAGGTGGGTTCATCATTTTTATTCATTTTTCATTTCTAGTAGTGTGGTGTAGTGGCCTGGTTGTAGTAGTGTAGTTGTGTGGTGTAGTAGCCTGGTGTAGTGGCCTGGTGTGGTGGCATGGTGTAGTAGCCTGGTGCAGTATCCTGGTGTAGTGGCCTGGTTGTAGTAGCGTAGTGTAGTTGCGTGGTGCAGTAGCCTGGTGTAGTGGCCTGGTGTGGTGGCATGGTGTAGTAGCCTGGTGCAGTAGCCTGGTGTAGTAAGGTGTAGTAGTGTGGTGTAGTAGCGTGGTATAGAAGCCTGGTGTAGTAAGGTGTAGTAGTGTGGTGTAGTAGCGTGGTGTAGTAGCGAGTGTAGTAGCCTGGTGTAGTGGCATGGTGTAGTGGCATGGTGTAGTAGCTTAATGCAGTAGCGTAATGTAAGAACATAAGAACAAAGGTAACTGCAGAAGGCCTATTGGCCCATACGAGGCAGCTCCTATTCTATAACCACCCAATCCCACTCATATACTTGTCCAACCCGAGCTTGAAACAATCGAGGGACACCACCTCCACCACGTTACGCGGTAATTGGTTCCACAAATCAACAACCCTCTTACTGAACCAGTATTTACCCAAGTCTTTCCTAAATCTAAACTTATCCAATTTATACCCATTGTTTCGTGTTCTGTCTTGTGTTGATATTTTTAATACCCTATTAATATCCCCCCTGTTATGTCCATTCATCCATTTGTAAACCTCTATCATGTCACCCCTAACTCTTCACCTTTCCAGTGAATGCAACTTAAGCTTTGTTAATCTTTCTTCATATGAAAGATTTCTAATTTGGGGAATTAACTTAGTCATCCTACGTTGGACACGTTCAAGTGAATTTATATCCATTCTATAATACGGCGACCAAAACTGAACTGCATAATCTAAATGGGGCCTAACCAGAGCAAGATATAGCTTAAGAACCACACCAGGTGAAGTAGTGTGGTGTAGTGGTGTGGTGAAGTAGCCTGGTGTAGTAGCGTGGTGTAGTTGCGTTGTGTAGTGGCCTGGTGTAGTTAGCCTGGTGTAGTAAGGAGTAGTAGCGTGGTGTAGTCGGGGGCCTCGTAGCCTGGTGGATAGCGCGCAGGACTCGTAATTCTGTGGCGCGGGTTCGATTCCTGCACGAGGCAGAAACAAATGGGCAAAAGTTTCTTTCACCCTGAACGTCCCTGTTACCTAGCAGTTAATAGGTACCTGGGAGTTAGTCAGCTGTCACGGGCTGCTTCCTGGGGGTGGAGGCCTGGTCGAGGACCGGGCCGCGGGGACACTAAAGCCACGAAATCATCTCAAGATAACCTCAAGATAGTAGGATGGTGTAGTAGCTTGTGTAGTGGCCAGGTATAGTGGCGTGGTGTAGTCACCTGGTGTAGAAGCATGTTATAGTGGCATGGTGTGGTGTAGTAGCCTGGTGTAGTAGCGTGGTGTAGTATCTTGAGGTTATCTTGAGATGATTTCAGGGCTTTAGTGTCCCCGCTGCCCGGTCCTCGACCAGGCCTCCACCCCCAGGAAGCAGCCCGTGACAGCTGACTAACACCCAGGTACCTATTTTACTGCTAGGTAACAGGGGCATAGGGTGAAAGAAACTTTCCCCATTGTTTCTCGCCAGCTCCTGGGATCGAACCCAGGACCACAGGATCACAAGTCCCGCGTGCTGTCCACTCGGCCGACCGGTTCCCTGTGTGTAGTAGCCTGGTGTAGTAGTGTTGTGTAGTAGCGTGGTGTAGTAGCCAGGTATAGTGGCATGGTGTAGTAGCCTGGTGTAGTGGCATGGTGTAGTAGCCTGGTATAGTGGCATGGTGTAGTAGCCTGGTGTAGTAGCCAGGTATAGTGGCATGGTGTAGTAGCCTGGGGTAGTGGCATGGTGTAGCAGCCTGGTGTAGTAGCCTGGTGTAGTGGCATGGTGTAGCAGCCTGGTGTAGTAGCCTGGTGTAGTGGCATGGTGTAGCAGCCTGGTGTAGTGGCATGGTGTAGCAGCCTGGTGTAGTGGCATGGTGTAGTAGCCTGGTGTAGTGGCATGGTGTAGTAGCCTGGTGTAGTGGCATGGTGTAGTAGCCTGGTGTAGTAGCCTGGTGTAGTAGCCTGGTGTAGTGGCATGGTGTAGCAGCCTGGTGTAGTAGCCAGGTATAGTGGCATGGTGTAGCAGCCTGGTGTAGTGGCATGGTGTAGTAGCCTGGTGTAGTGGCATGGTGTAGCAGCCTGGTGTAGTAGCCTGGTGTAGTGGCATGGTGTAGCAGCCTGGTGTAGCAGCCTGGTGTAGTGGCATGGTGTAGTAGCCTGGTGTAGTGGCATGGTGTAGCAGCCTGGTGTAGTAGCCTGGTGTAGTGGCATGGTGTAGCAGCCTGGTGTAGTGGCATGGTGTAGCAGCCTGGTGTAGTGGCATGGTGTAGTAGCCTGGTGTAGTGGCATGGTGTAGTAGCCTGGTGTAGTGGCATGGTGTTGTAGCCTGGTGTAGTAGCCTGGTGTAGTAGCCTGGTGTAGTGGCATGGTGTAGCAGCCTGGTGTAGTAGCCAGGTATAGTGGCATGGTGTAGCAGCCTGGTGTAGTGGCATGGTGTAGTAGCCTGGTGTAGTGGCATGGTGAAGTAGCCTGGTGTAGTAGCGTGGTGTAGTTGCGTTGTGTAGTGGCCTGGTGTAGTTAGCCTGGTGTAGTAAGGAGTAGTAGCGTGGTGTAGTCGGGGGCCTCGTAGCCTGGTGGATAGCGCGCAGGACTCGTAATTCTGTGGCGCGGGTTCGATTCCTGCACGAGGCAGAAACAAATGGGCAAAAGTTTCTTTCACCCTGAACGTCCCTGTTACCTAGCAGTTAATAGGTACCTGGGAGTTAGTCAGCTGTCACGGGCTGCTTCCTGGGGGTGGAGGCCTGGTCGAGGACCGGGCCGCGGGGACACTAAAGCCACGAAATCATCTCAAGATAACCTCAAGATAGTAGGATGGTGTAGTAGCTTGTGTAGTGGCCAGGTATAGTGGCGTGGTGTAGTCACCTGGTGTAGAAGCATGTTATAGTGGCATGGTGTGGTGTAGTAGCCTGGTGTAGTAGCGTGGTGTAGTATCTTGAGGTTATCTTGAGATGATTTCAGGGCTTTAGTGTCCCCGCTGCCCGGTCCTCGACCAGGCCTCCACCCCCAGGAAGCAGCCCGTGACAGCTGACTAACACCCAGGTACCTATTTTACTGCTAGGTAACAGGGGCATAGGGTGAAAGAAACTTTCCCCATTGTTTCTCGCCAGCTCCTGGGATCGAACCCAGGACCACAGGATCACAAGTCCCGCGTGCTGTCCACTCGGCCGACCGGTTCCCTGTGTGTAGTAGCCTGGTGTAGTAGTGTTGTGTAGTAGCGTGGTGTAGTAGCCAGGTATAGTGGCATGGTGTAGTAGCCTGGTGTAGTGGCATGGTGTAGTAGCCTGGTATAGTGGCATGGTGTAGTAGCCTGGTGTAGTAGCCAGGTATAGTGGCATGGTGTAGTAGCCTGGGGTAGTGGCATGGTGTAGCAGCCTGGTGTAGTAGCCTGGTGTAGTGGCATGGTGTAGTAGCCTGGTGTAGTATGGTGTAGTAGCCTGGTGTAGTGGCATGGTGTAGTAGCCTGGTGTAGTGGCATGGTGTAGTAGCCTGGTGTAGTGGCATGGTGTAGTAGCCTGGTGTAGTGGCATGGTGTAGTAGCCTGGTGTAGTGGCATGGTGTAGTAGCCTGGTGTAGTAGCCTGGTGTAGTAGCCTGGTGTAGTGGCATGGTGTAGCAGCCTGGTGTAGTAGCCAGGTATAGTGGCATGGTGTAGCAGCCTGGTGTAGTGGCATGGTGTAGCAGCCTGGTGTAGTGGCATGGTGTAGCAGCCTGGTGTAGTAGCCTGGTGTAGTGGCATGGTGTAGCAGCCACGACAATACCCATGGTGTAGCAGCCTGGTGTAGTGGCATGGTGTAGTAGCCTGGTGTAGTGGCATGGTGTAGCAGCCTGGTGTAGTAGCCTGGTGTAGTGGCATGGTGTAGCAGCCTGGTGTAGTGGCATGGTGTAGCAGCCTGGTGTAGTGGCATGGTGTAGTAGCCTGGTGTAGTGGCATGGTGTAGTAGCCTGGTGTAGTGGCATGGTGTTGTAGCCTGGT